CCGGTTTGGTGCACCATCATCTCGTCCGAAACAAGTGGAGATCGCTTGCTGCCCTGGCGGTTGAAACTGCCGAGGCCCGCGAGGTCCACCACCACTGCGTTCTGCTAGGTTATGGTGCCGATGCCATCAATCCCTACCTAGCTCTAGAATGTATTCTCAAGATGAACCGGGAGAAGTTGATCCGCAAAGACATCCCCGATGAGAAGGTTATTCAGAACTACAAGTCATCCTGTGATGGTGGTATTCTGAAGGTCATGAGTAAGATGGGTATCTCTACTCTCCAGTCCTACAAGGGTGCCCAGATTTTCGAGGCCCTTGGCATCGACGACAGCGTTATTGATCGCTGCTTCTCCGGTACTGCCAGTCGCATCCGTGGTATCACATTTGATCTGATTGCCCAGGATGCTTTCGCCTTCCACGAGCGTGGTTATCCCTCGCATCCAATTGTTGAGGTTCCCGGTCTGCCCGAATCCGGCGAGTACCACTGGCGTGATGGAGGAGAGGCCCATATCAACGACCCCACCAGCATTGCCAACGTGCAGGATGCCGTTCGCACCAAAAACGACAAGTCCTACGAAGCCTATGCCAAGTCCGCACATGAACAGATCAAGAACTGTACTTTGCGTGGAATGCTGGACTTCGATTTCGACCAGCGTACCCCTATTCCCATTGACCAGGTCGAGCCTTGGACCGAAATTGTCCGTCGCTTCGTGACCGGTGCCATGTCCTACGGTTCCATCTCTATGGAATCTCACTCTACAATTGCCATCGCCATGAACCGTTTGGGTGGCAAGTCCAACACTGGTGAGGGTGGTGAAGATGCCGAGCGTAGCAAAAGAATGGAGAACGGCGACACGATGCGATCCGCCATCAAGCAGATTGCTTCTGGCCGTTTCGGTGTGACATCCAACTACCTAGCCGACGCCGATGAATTACAAATCAAGATGGCCCAGGGTGCCAAGCCCGGTGAGGGTGGTGAATTACCCGGTCATAAGGTTGTCGGCCCCATTGCTCGCACACGGTTCTCCACACCGGGAGTCGGTCTTATCTCCCCGCCCCCGCACCACGACATCTACTCCATTGAAGATCTGAAGCAGCTTATCTACGATCTCAAGTGCTCTAACCCCAGAGCTCGTGTCTCCGTCAAGCTCGTATCTGAGGTTGGTGTTGGTATTGTCGCCTCTGGTGTGGCCAAGGCCAAGGCTGATCACATCTTGATCTCTGGTCATGATGGTGGCACCGGTGCCTCGCGCTGGACCGGTATCAAGTATGCCGGTCTTCCTTGGGAATTGGGTCTTGCAGAGACTCATCAAACTCTGGTTTTGAACGATCTTCGTGGTCGTGTTGTGGTCCAGACTGATGGCCAAATCCGTACGGGCCGTGATCTTGCCATCGCCTGTCTCCTTGGAGCGGAAGAATATGGATTTGCCACAACTCCTTTGATCGCATTAGGATGCATTATGATGAGAGTGAGTACATTCAGTCTCTAGTTTCCCAACGAACAGCCTATTAACAAATATATTTTTCCTAGAAATGTCACCTGAATACCTGCCCTGTTGGTATCGCGACTCAGGATCCTGAACTGAGGCAGAAATTCAAGGGCACTCCGGAGCATGTTATCAACTTCTTCTACTATGTTGCCAACGAGATGCGTGCTATCATGGCCAGGCTGGGTGTTCGTTCGGTTAATGAGATGGTCGGTCGTGCTGAGCTGCTTAAGGTCCGGGACGATATTCGTAATGTCAAGCAGGAACGAATTGACCTGTCACTCATCCTGACCCCTGCTCACTCACTTCGCCCTGGAGTCGCTACCTACAATGTTCGCAAGCAGGATCACCGCCTTCACACCCGCTTGGACAACAAGTTGATTGCTGAATCGGAGCTCGCTCTTGAGAAGGGTTTACCTTGCCGAATTGAGTGTGATATCGTCAACACCGACCGTGCTCTGGGCTCTACCCTCTCTTATCAGATCAGCAGACGTTATGGCGAAGCTGGTCTTCCTCAGGATACCATCCACGCGAACATTAAGGGCTCTGCTGGTCAATCCTTTGGTGCCTTCCTCGCCCCCGGTGTTACCCTTGAGCTTGAAGGTGATGCCAACGACTATGTCGGTAAGGGTCTTTCCGGTGGTCGTCTTATCGTCTACCCCCCACGTGGAGCCGCTTTCAAGGCTGAAGAAAATGTCATCGTTGGTAACACCTGTCTTTACGGTGCCACCCGCGGAACTTGCTACTTCCGTGGTATGGCTGCTGAGCGTTTTGCTGTCCGTAACTCTGGCGCTACTGTCGTCGTTGAAGGTGTTGGTGATCACGGATGTGAGTACATGACTGGTGGTCGTGTACTCAATCTCGGACCCACTGGCCGCAACTTCGCTGCTGGTATGTCTGGTGGTATTGCCTATGTTCTGGATAAGAACCAGGACTTCCATTCCAAGGTTAACTTGGAGATGGTTGAGATCTCCAGCATCGAAGACCCATCGGAGATTGCCTTTGTTCGTGGTCTGGTGGAAGATCACCACCATTACACTGGCTCTGAGTTGGCTGCTCGCATCCTGCTGGACTTTACTCGTGCACTCTCTCACTTCGTCAAGGTTCTGCCAACCGACTACAAGCGTGTCATGGAAGAAGAGGCTGCTAAGGCGGAGGCTGCGAAGAAGGCCGAATTCACTCTTCCTCTGCTCCCTAGCACCCCAGTCAAAGCCGAGAAGGCCAAAACCGATGACTCCAAGAAGGCTGACTTGCTAGATATTGAAGACAGCATTAGCGATTCGAAGACTGAGAAGAAGCGATCCGCATTGATCTTGGACAAAACAAGAGGTTTCATGAAGTACAGCCGCCGCAGTGAGAAATATCGCAATGCAACAACCCGTACTCGCGACTGGGGCGAGATCTCCCACCGCCTCAGCGAGGACGAGCTTAAGTACCAGTCTGCCCGTTGTATGGACTGTGGTGTTCCGTTCTGCCAGTCTGACACTGGCTGTCCCATTTCTAACATCATCCCTAAATGGAACGAGTTGGTATTTGAGGGGCAGTGGCAGGACGCTTTGAACCGTCTGCTCATGACCAACAACTTCCCTGAGTTCACCGGTCGTGTCTGCCCTGCACCTTGTGAAGGCTCCTGTGTTCTAGGCATCAATGAAGACCCTGTCGGTATCAAATCCATCGAGTGCGCGATTATTGACCGTGGGTTCGAGATGGGCTGGATGGTTCCCTGTCCCCCTAAGACCCGCTCTGGCAAGACCATTGCTATCATTGGCTCTGGACCTGCTGGCTTGGCTGCTGCTGATCAGCTCAACCGCGCTGGTCACAGCGTCACCGTTTATGAGCGTGCTGACCGAATGGGTGGTCTTCTTATGTATGGTATCCCCAACATGAAGCTTGATAAGAAGGTTGTCCAGCGCCGTATCGACTTCATGGCCGCTGAAGGTATCAAGTTCATTGCGAGTACTGCTGTTGGCCCTGACTGCGAGGTTTCCCTGCAGTCTCTCCGTGCTACAAATGATGCTGTCATTGTTGCCACCGGTGCTACTGTTGCGCGTGATCTCAAGGTCACTGGCCGTGAATTGGATGGCGTGCACTTTGCCATGCAATTCTTGCATAAGAATACTAAGTCCCTCCTCGACTCTGGTCTTTCGGATGGCGCATATATCTCTGCCAAGGACAAGCATGTTGTCGTCATTGGTGGTGGTGATACCGGCAACGATTGTATTGGTACCTCTGTCCGCCATGGTGCCAAGTCGGTGACCAACTTCGAGTTGTTGCCCCAGCCTCCCCCAGAGCGTGCCCGTGACAACCCCTGGCCTCAATGGCCCCGTATCTACCGTGTCGACTATGGTCACACCGAGGTCAAGACCCACATGGGCAAAGACCCACGTGAGTACTGTGTCATGTCGACCGAGTTCGTTGACGATGGCAACAACCGCGTCAAGGGCATCAACACTGTCCGAGTTGAGTGGACTAAGAGCGCTACTGGCGGCTGGGACATGAAGACCGTCGAGGGCAGCGAGCAATTCTTCCCCGCTGACCTTGTCCTCCTCTCTATGGGATTCTTGGGCCCCGAGGATCGTGTCTTTGGTGAAGATATTGAGCTTGATCCTCGCAAGAACATCAAGACTCCTCCCGGCCACTACTCGACCAACATTCCCGGTGTCTATGCGGCAGGTGACTGTCGCCGTGGACAGTCTTTGATTGTCTGGTGAGTTTTCGTCCAACTCTTATATAACTAGTGATTTACTAATATGATTCTAGGGGTATCAACGAAGGTCGCCAGTGTGCTCGCGAAGTGGACGCTTTCCTCAGCGGAACCAGCTCCCAGCTCCCAGTCACCGGTGGTATCGTCCGTCGTCCTGCCATCGACTCCGTCCCTCAACCCACTGAGGTTGCTGCTTAATCTAGTGGCGATGTAGGACATTTTTTACGACTTTGACGGCCATTTTCACGACAAAAGTTTCATGGATAAACTTGTGTGACTTAGACGGAGTTCCATCGGGTTGGTTCTCTGCGCGAATGAAAAAGCCTCCAGGACTGCGCTTTCTTGAGTTTTGCTTTCTACCCTTTGTTTTATTCTTTTTGGTTTTCAACTTTTTTCTTTTGCTTCAGCGGTTTTTTATCTGTTTTTCTTCTTTCAAGTTTGCAAGGTGTTCGGAGCGTCTGCCATTCGGTGGTCTCTCTATTCCTGCTGTACATAGCTTTTCTGCAAATCTGACTATGCTCCATCATTATTTCAAATTCATCTATAAAGCTGAATACTCGCTTTTTCTTTGAGTCTCTCTATGTCTTTGTATTAAAGGACAAAGAGCTGGAGAGTGTCAACAATGTCTTGGTGCTTCATTCTGTGGCAACCTCCCCTTGTTAAACTTGCATGGCCGGCTTTGATGGCTAAACTATATATAATTGTCCTTATATCCCTTGATTTTTTTCGGACCACTCCATCCCATCCATTCGTTTTATCTAATCTAGCTTACCTATTTCACAGATTCACTAATCCTATCCATCGCAGACATGGGCAACGAGGCCAATACGACAATCAAGGCCGCGAATGATCTCAATCCAAACGGCTTCATCACTGACCGCGAGCTCGACGGCGAGCGACGTTCCATTCGCCACTATAATGATGGTCGAGTATCCGGGCGGGGTAGGAGTGTCGAGGGTACCCTTCGAACAAAGATGCAGAAGAGCCCCACAGGCGCCGGAGGTCGCGCCAGACCCCCCACCTCTCGCCCCCGAGACCTGAGCGGCCGATCTACTCCAGCTGTTGCGTCCGGTTCATCTGATATCGCTGATATCACTGCTGCCATGGCCAAGCTCACTGCTGATCATCCCGCTAGCCCTAAGGTAAAGAGACTCAGCAAGAAGTTGAACCTTGATGCCGATTCGGGGATTGAGACTGTGACTCTGCGAAAGGTCACTACTTTATCCATGGACAGTGGGGCCTCCTCTACGTGCAGCACGGGCAGCAGAAGTTCTGTCAATGCAAGAATAGCGGAGATTGAAGGTCGGGTAAGGGGGCACATTAAGACCCGGCTCCAGTCTATTAAGGAGGAACCAGAAGAGTAATAAAGAGTGAAGTTCGGATTGAGCAACTAGAGAATTGGAGAACCTCACCTTCGTTACCTGTCTTCTATCGAATTTCTGAATGCTAACATATCGAATTGCGTTTTACAAGAGGTCTTACAAGCTTGCTTCGCAGTTGAGCTTTTACATGCACGGCAGCTACTCACAGCTTCCCAGTATGTGCCCAATGGTGTGAAAGAATATAAGGTAAGTATGTTTTGGATTTCCTCTTTGATATCCCGAGACATGTCTCCTGTGTCCATGGGCTTTTAGGTCTTCGCTGACACGTTTCATAATCTTACGTCATAATCTTACGTCCTTCATTTATGCAGCGTTCCTCGAGCATTTCTTGAGGCGTTTTGAGTCAATCAATCTATTTCAACATCGTTCTTTCCCTTCAGTATAATTTTATAGATCATAGGGCATAGTTATAAAACTCACATAAAGACATATCTGAGAAATACCGAGCATATAAGACCATACAGTGTAAAAGACAACAGCCTCTAAGCGCTATATGCGAATCCGCGGAGTCCTCCATATGACCGTCGAACAAACGCCGATACACAGGGGAAATGGAGAGTATCATATTATACATGAGTAAATGAAACAAAATGGTGTATATCTACATATCGTAACAAGAAGAGAAGAGAGAAACAAGGAACATCATGAAGCCGTCCGTTCCGCCTGTTTTTCCGCTGCTTCATCTTCAGCCTTCATCTCCTGCCACATTGCAGCAAAGTCTCCCTTGAACGAGTCTTTGGCTGGGTCTAGCCGCACATCCCAAACATCCTCACTGCTAGGGCCTGTCTTGTACTTAATCGACTTCTTCCGGTTGTGGTCTCGGATCTCTCTCCTGCGTAAATCTTCCGGCCAAGTTCGGGTCTTCATGCACAGCCATAGATTATCCCAGTGATCGCTGCATGAACGTAGCTCTCCATATCGATAAACATTCACAAATTGACCTCCAAAAGACTGGCAGAAGAAGGCGTAGTCGAACGCATTGCGGCAGGACATAGTATCTTGGTAGAGGGATTCGGGGGAGATGGGTGATGAAGGTGTTTGGGATTCTGGCGACGGATTGCCATCAGGGGTCAGCCCTGTTCGTTTTGAGAGCGACGCATCCTCGGCTCTGAGATCAGCCAGGATTTGGTTGAATTCCAAGTCGGCTTGTTCGTCGGGGGTCAAGGTCTTCGATGGTGCATTCTGCTTTGCTGGTTCCATAGGAATTGAGGAAGGGATATCCTTGGGGATATCCTTGGAAGCATCCTTGGGACTTGATTCCCACAGCCAGCCCATTTTGTTTTGCAGGAGGAAAGAATTGGTGGATCTCTCGCGACACCTTGAAATCGCGAGGTTATCTTTTTCGCGGTAATCAATATGTCATGTGACTCCGATAACCAGTCACAAACCGACGTCATCAATTTGGGAAGTCGATTTAAACAACTAGATCGCTCTTCCAACTTTGGTTTTTTGCTCTATTCGGTATGTGTATATGGCCAGGATGAGATTGAAACCCTTATCAAAAGGTCCGTTGGCCCTTTGGTCTCCGACACGCTCTGGTATCAGCGACAATGCCTCCCAGGTGTGGAGACCTCCACTTTGGGGACGCTCGACGATACGATGCACATCTTCTGTCCAGTCGGGACATATTTCAGTAGGAGAAAATGAAGGGATTGTCTATGTCAATAGTGAGCGCCAAGTTATGGCAAGCTATCATGTCTATGCACTAACTAGCTCTAGACATATTTCCGCATCGATTACAATGGCTGCTGCGGGGACCCCTCAGTCATATCCAGCCTCTCGAGGGATTTTTGACACGAGTCAACAACCCAGGACTAGCGGCAGCTGATCCTACTCGTATTGTTCAACGAGCCTTGCCTAAGGACCTAGGTCTGGAGATCAAAGAGGTCGTGACAAGGTACAAGGAGGGAGGCGCATTCGTGAAGTATGCGCTCAAGTCGGACATCAGCAACGAAAGTATTCAAAATGCAATCAACGAGCATTTGAAAACCAATCCCATTAAGCCCTGGTTCAATCCGATCTTGAAAGTCGATATAGACCTCGTTCGCGGAACGCCGTGGATCGAAGACCTCTATCGGATCCCAAGTCAGACCCTAAAGGTGGAATTCTTGCCAACGTCCCCAGATAATTCAGCGGTCGAATTAACTCAAGAGTCCTTATACTCAATGTTCCGACCTTACGGCAAACTTCTGGACATCCAAACACAGCCCTCAGATTCGAAGGTCGAACCACGATATGCAATTCTGCGATTCGGGCGCCCCCGGTTTGCCGTGATGGCAAGAAATTGCATGCATGGATTTATTGTCTCCGAAGAAGCTGGGGGTGGCAAGTCTGGTACAAGGTTCAAGATCAACTACGAGCGCAAGATCAAGCTGTTTATGATCAAGGATTGGATTTTGAACCATCCGAGACTAGTGATCCCTGCTATAGCTGCACTGATAGCTACTATTACGGTGATCATCTTCGATCCGATCCGCACGTTCTTCATTACGCTCAAAATCAAGTCGTCGTTCCAGAATGAAGAGAATCCAGTGCTGCAGTGGGTTCGCAAACAAGCTAGCAAAGCGAGCATGTTCCCATTTGGGAAGCGAAAGTCGGACCCGCGAGGTCTAGCGGCTATCTGGGAGGACCGACAAGCAGAGATTGCACAACTGCGAGCCTGGTTAACAGAGACCGCGGAGACCTTCATTGTTATCCATGGTCCTCGGGGCTCAGGAAAACGCGAGCTGGTTTTGGAACAAGCTCTGAAAGAGCACAAGTATAAGGTCATCATTGACTGCAAGCAAATTCAAGATTCTCGGGGCGACACAGCCAAAATTTCACGAGCGGCCGCTCAGGTCGGCTACCGACCAATCTTCTCTTGGATGAATAGCATCAGCAGCTTCATCGACCTTGCCGCACAAGGAATGATTGGCACCAAAGCTGGCTTCTCGGAGACGCTAGATGCGCAGTTGAGCAAGATCTGGCAGAATACTGGTGTCGCTATGAAACGAGTTGCCTTGGAAGGTAGACGAAAGGAGGACAAAGATTTCAATATGTCCGAAGATGAATACCTGGAAGCTCATCCCGAGGTGAGACCTGTCGTTGTAATTGACAATTTCCTCTATGACGCGGATGATAGTGTCGTGCTCGACAAACTTACTGAATGGGCGGCTGGTCTGACATCCGCAAACATCGCTCATGTCATCTTCTTGACGACTGATTCCTCTTTTGCAAAGCCATTGAGCAAAGCCATGCCTAATCAAGTGTTCCGTACAATTGCCTTGGGTGACTGCTCGCTCGAAGTTGGTCGTCGTTTCGTGTTGAGTCATCTGGATGCAGAGGCAGGCGATGGTGACGATGAACAGAATGCAAGGCGCAAAGAGACACTTCGTGGCTTGGATTACTGTATCAAGATGCTGGGTGGTCGAGTTACTGATTTGGAGTTTATGGCGCATCGCATTGAGGCTGGAGAGAGCCCCGAAGGTAAGTCTATCTTTGGTTTTCATTTTGGGAATTTTACTAACCATTGTATAGCTGCTGTGGACCGTATTATTGAACAGTCGGCGTCTGAAATTCTGAAGATCTTCATCCTCGGAACAGAGTCGATTGCACCCCAATGGACCCGTGAGCAGGCGTGGCACCTGATCAAGTCTATAGCCCATTCCAAGGATGGAAGCCTGTTGTACAACAAAGTCCTCCTCGACGATATATTCAAGGACAACGGCGAAGCCACTCTCCGGGCACTCGAGCAAGCAGAGCTCGTCTCTATTGGGACGGATAAAGGATTCCCACGATACATCAAGCCGGGCAAACCCGTGTATCGCGCTGCTTTCCAACGTCTGGTTGCGAACAAGACCCTGCAGGGCCGCCTTGATCTCTTAATTCTCTCACAGCTCATTGGAAACGAGAATTCAAGTATCACGAAGTATGAGGAGGAGTTACAGGTCCTTGGCTCGCTGCCAAAACACCCCTGGGAGCTAACCTCGCGGATTGAATGGCTTCTGCGCAAAGTTCACGGATCGCAGTCGAAGATTCTCAAGTATGAGAGTGAAAGTGCTGCCTTGTCAAAGGGTTTGCAGAAGGAGAATTGAGCTTTTAGCTACAGTATTAATCTCATCTCAATATCACACCATTACTAATAACACTATGATACTGAAGCCAGTCCTTTCTTTGTTTTGAGTCCTGCTCTATGACTTCAAATTTATCATGGGTATAGATCTCTTGTAGTATAAACGTGAACCAAGTGATGTCAGTTTTGATCCGACTATTCACAATATTATTTGATAAACCCCCATCATTATATTAGAACAAAACCACCGTCTATTTTGAAAATATTCAAAAATGAAAATGATTTCAACAAAGATAGAACTCAGCTGCCCAGGTCTAGTGCCCACTGAGAGACTCGAGCTTAGTCAGCCAGAAAAAGACACCTCCGTTTGCCATCGTGTCCCTTCACCCTTCACCTATATATATTAATTGTTGAAAAGTCTCTGGAGTGAATCAATTTAAATTGCCTGTCATACCCTATCATCTACCCTGAGGCCTTGAGTGGGTGCTGGCGCTGTAAAACCGTGCTATCTTGCCTGGCAGGGGTTGTTTTGGGCAACATTGATTCAACCACAATGGAGAGACACGAAGCCTCGAGTCTGATACAGGCCGTTCGTGAGAAATATTTCGGTGTAAGTTGGTCAACAGTTTTTGCTGTTGTGGTGTTGGTATGCATCACAACCCGGATTATCTCGGGCTTTCAAAGTCGACGTGAGCGAGACCCTTCAAAATCACAGACGGTGCGACTAGCACCTTATTGGTTTCCCTGGATTGGACATGGCCCTGCCTTCTTATGGAATCATGTCACCTTCTTTACAAGAACTCGGTTGGTCTTTCACTATATTGCCATTCTAGGTACCTGCTAATAAGGTTATAGGGAGTCTATGAATGAGCCTGTGTTTGGCATTTACATTCGCGGTGTGCAGCACAATGCTGTGGCTTCTCCATCTATG